GTTCTTAGGAGTCTGCAACTCAGTCTAAGAAGAACACAGGGATATTTCCAAAGTGAGAGCTAACCAGTCAGGTCTTCATGATAAGACCATGGTATTTGTCAAATTGTGAATTACCTTAGTATACATGGATCACTAGCCATAGTGTCCAACAGGTAGGCGAATCAAGTTATGCCTATCTAGGACTCATATCTACCACCACAAAAACGTGGCCAAAGGTGAAAAGCAGCAGCCAGCAGAGCCTCCTCTAGCCTCGGGCCCCAGGGGATCCCTGTAGCCTTCTGTTCTGGGTTTCCCCTGCAGCAGTCTCTTCCACTGAAAGGTCACTGTCATTGGTTTTAATAGTTACCGTGAATATTCCGATTCTGAATCTTTACTTGGGTATCAGCACATAAAGCAGGAAGCTGAATCAAAATCAAAGTCAAAAACACACCCTCGTTAAACAGTTTTAGGAACTGGTAATGAAGACTCCCACGCAGTGAGTGGTAAGGAGACTACCTGGAGAAAACAAAGGCATCTCGCAGGACTTTGAAGCCCAAACACAAATAGGCATCCACATTCATAAATGCCCACATGTACCTTCCCTAAAAAGAGCTGAATCCTCAGAGTAAGGCTCCAGAAAACTCCTGAATGGCCTGTGCACATGCTCACACACAAACTTTCTCCTTCTGCTCTCAGCAGTAGCACACTGACTTGGACCTGAAGCAGTCTAAGTTTAAACACTGCCATGCACTCACTGCCCTATTTGCTTCGGGTACCTAACTCAAGCATTTTGGGCACTGGCTAATCTTTATCTCTACAATGGTGGTTAACAGTGACTTCTAGGCATGGCTCTACCCCAAAGCTTAGCCAACCCATGCCCCACTATATTATCATCTCATGTGACTTGATACCTGTTCCTGTCACATTCTCTGCCTCCAAACCCCTCCTTCTTCATCTGGCTAAAGTCGGTTCATGTGCCAATCTTCCCCATCACAGGCTCCAGGAGGGCTGCCCTGATATCAGGCCACTGTCCCTGAGGCTGCGGAGGTGCTCCCACCACTCATGTGCTTTGTCCTTCGATGACTGCCTTTATCACACCCTGAAGTATATCACTCTACTCAGCTCCCCCAGGCCTAGAAACTTCCTTAAGAGTTCTCTTTGGCTGATGGCCTTCTGCAGTACCCAGCGAACCTGTTCTGAGGGTTTTAGTGAGCAAATGAGCAAATGATCTGGGCAGAGTAAGGAGAAAGGGCATATGCAGGAGCTTAGACCCACAGTGTACTGTAGGAACATAAACTCTCAACAAGAAGGACACCGAATGGTTCGGGTCAGAAAACACGGCAGCTGAGAAAAGGGCACGAGACCTGAACTAGGTCCTCGGTGGCTTCTGAGATGTGTGCTATCAAACACTGGACTGCCCTCAGCAGTGAAGGAAGGTAAGGAGATTCCTTCAGGCAGAAGACAAAGTGAGCTTCCCACTGGCTGAGTCGGAACAGGCATAAGCCACTCAGGACATGGGGAGGGCAGAAAGGGGCTGAGACTCAGGGAGGCAAGGAGGCTTTCTGAGAAATAAGAGTGTGCTGTTTTTCTTACACAGAAGGTAGTCACTTCCCTGAAATCACTTGCCACACTACACTGACTCTGCTGGGTAGGACTGTCTGTTCCTCAGAAGCAAAGAACACTGTTTATATGACTTGGGAGTCTAATGTTGGGGAACGCAAGCAGAGACAAAGGTCAAAGTGTGAGTTCTAAATTTTCCAGCCCAATGTGGAATAAGAAAAACTAGGAGCCTGGAGGCAGACCTAGGAGGTAAATACCACTACTAAGTAACATAAAATGTTTTTAAAATAATGTTATAAAGTATCTAGAAATATAAAATTACAAAACCCAGCCCACAGATGAATCCCCTGGAAGCCATGTAGAAGACTGACAGAAGGATGGTGGGCACATTATGGAAAGGGAGTAAAAGCAGAAATTTAGAACGCCGTTTAGCAAATTTAGAATTGTACACACGACTATAAATATTTATACTATTTTCTTCTATTAAAATAAGAATCAGACGGGTAGAGAGACGGCTCAGCACTTACAGGCAGTCGCTGATCTTGCACAGGACTAGAGTTGAGGTCCCAGTACCCATTGCAGTTCCAGCCCCAGGGGATCCAATGCCCAATGCTGGCTTCCATAGGCACCCTCATGTATGTTCTCACACACTCACACAGATGCACACACATACACATCAGTAATAAGTAAATAAATCTTAAATAAAAGAATCAGCTTGAAGATGAATATTTACCTCCTATGAAAAGGTCTTTGATGAAACCGTTTTCATGTCTGGACAAGAGGGAGGAAAGGAGACTATAAGGGGTATTCCTTTGTCAGAACTGAACAAAGAACAGAAGGGAAGAGGTTTATCCTAAGACGATATCTGATAAGTTGTACGTGAAAGTAATCTATTTATCATGCACATTTTTATTCCTAATTTTGAAATATCTCAAAGACACAAAAATAAAAGCACAGGAACTAATGCTGGTAATACCACTAGAGTTAACAGAAATTTAGGCCAAACACACCTAATTCAGCATCTAACTCCTAATTCTCCAAAATTTGGTATGTTTGAGTGTCAGCATAATGCCACAAGTAGAGAATTATACACTTGACCACCTGTGATTGTTGTGGTCAAAACATATGCAAAATTAAAACATTATATAAAAATCAGCTTCAGGCTATGCACATATGGTGCATATGAAATATGGATGACTTTCATGGGCTGGGAAGATAGTTCAGTAGGTAAAGTACTTACTGTGGAGGCAGAGGACATGTGTTCAACAGACCACATAAAAAAGTTAACAGTGTGCACTTACCATCCCAGTAACGGAGGGGAACATAGGCAGATCCCTGGGGCTCACTAGCCATTCAGCCAAGTCTACTCAGCAAGCTCCAGGCCAATAAAAGACCCTGTCTCACGAAGAAAACAAGAACAGGCATGGTGGCACAAGCCTTTAATCTCAGCACAAGGGTGACAGAGGCAGACAGATCTCTGTGAGATCAACGTCAGTCTGGTTTACACAAAATTCCAGGTCAGTTGAGGCTACAGGTGACCCTGAATCAAAAAAGAAGGGCGGGGCAAAGTGGGTGGCTTCTAAGGAATGCTTTAGCACCCAAGGCTGACCTGTGTCCTCCACGCACACAGACATGCATGTGTTCTCAAACATACACAACTACTCCAAACCCAAAACATTTATTCTATACATTTTGGATAAAGCACACAAAACCTGTGTTATATATGCTTCAAAATTAAATGCATATAATGAAAGATAAAATCAAGTCTGGCCACCTTCCCTCATCCTACTCCTACTTCCCTGCCTAACATAAACAACGTGCTAAAGATTAAATGACCCGCTCTTTTTAAAAAATATATTTTATTTATTATTTTTATGTGTATGCATGTATTTCCTGCATGTAGGTAAGTGCACCCATGTCGTGCAGTGCCCTCAGGAAACAGACAAGGCTGTCAGATCCCCTGGGACTGGAGTTACAGACAGTTGTTAGCTGCCATGTGGGTGCTGGGATTCGAACCCTGGAATTCTGCAAGAACAGTCAGCGTTCTTAACCGCTGAGCCACCACTCCAGCCCCGATCCATTCTTTTTTATTATTTTTGTTTATGGGTATGAGTGCACTGCCTGCATGTATTTAAGTGCATCCATGTCATAAAATGCCCATGGAGGTCAGAAGAGGGTGTCAAATCCCCTGGAACTGGAGTTAGGGACAGCAATTAGTCACTATGTAATCGAACCTGGGTCCTCTGTAGGAGTAGCCAATGCTTTTAACTGCCGAGCCATCTCTCCAGTCCCCAAATGCCCCATTCTTAACCAATGCATGCTCCATACCTCCCTGGATAATGCACATCATTCCTCCATAGAGACCTTAATATCTTTATTTTGGATCTTAAGATCCTTCAGGATTATTCTAGGTAAATAAAAGATGACCACTGACAATGGTTCTCAAGCAGGTTTCTGTATCTACATTTGAAGACATAACAAGTTTAAGTAGTGATTAGGAAATCTGTAATAAATTCTAAGAAATATCCTAGGTTTTGAGGTGGCCTAGACAGTAATTATCCTGTCTGGAGGGCCTGGTGTGTGTGTGTGTGTGTGTGTGTGTGTGTGTGTGTGTGTGCAATTTATTAAACATTTCATATGTACTTTATAAAGAAAAAATAAAAATAATAAATAAATAAATAAAAACAAGCAAGCAAGCAAGCACACTACTCAGAGATCCTTGGACCAGTCATCATGTCAGACTCCAGACCCACAGAATCTCAGTTCTCATTTTAGTAGAATTCCCAGGTGATGCTTGTATGTTACAGGCTAAGAATTGTTGGTTTTTTTAGAATCCAGAAAAGTGAGAAGCTGTATCACATAAAATCAGATCTAACCTGTCTTTTGCTAAATGTTATCATCTTCCTGTCACACCACATGGAAAACCCACACAGTAGTCTCTGAAGACCAGTTGTTACAACTGGAGGCAGGTCTGTTACCCCAAAGGTTATCTACAAACAATGCCTGTTACAGCCCTGTGGGAGGTAAGGATGACGTTATCCACATTTAGTAGTTATAAATCAAGAATAAAACTAAGCATTCTACAAAACAGCAATAGGGCAAAGGCTTGAAAGAAACACCACCAGCATTAAACCTATTGTTTTCTGCTGAAAATAAATAAATTATTAAATTCAGTAACTGAATGAACAGATTTAAACATCCACATTTACTAAGGAAAAATAAACAGGTATAAACAAATATCCAAAACATTTTATGGCTACCACTCTCAAAGAGTTCTTAGGTTTCACACAAAAGTTTGCAATCAAATCAATAATGAATGCTGATAATCAAGAGTCAATACAACAACAAACACACATGTTGAACTATTTTACAACTAGACAAGCTGAACTGCAAAACTTAAGTATTCTGTTCCAAAAAAAATGCTTGGTGCTTAGTTAATTTATTTTTCTTTCATAATACAGAATCCCTAACGATGAAACTTTGGCCACTTCAAGATGAGAAGGATTCACTGGGCTAAATTACTGCACTGAAAGGAGACCATATTTTATACCAAAAAAGCTCTTAAAGGTAATTGGAGAAAAAAAAAAAACTTTCGTGTATTGTCATCCTACAGCCTTACACTGCTCGAAGGGACAAGTATGTTTGCTGTCTACGCCACATTAAATCACTCACTTTCTATACCACAGTAAATCTTACACTGGCATTCTTTTTAGCTGTGGGAAAAAATATGAGGGAAGACGAATTATATGTTGTTGCTATTACACCTGCCTTAGGGCCTCACAAGTCCCACACTTGGCTGAGCGTGTCATATCAAGGCCCTAAGTGACGGTAAATACAGGCAGAAGCACTTCACATCACTCAGCCGTCCTCATCCACCTGTGAAACAAGGAAGGGTTCTACCAAAGACAATCGAAATACAAACACTATTAGGATCCCTTCTTAAGAAGTATATCCACAGAGCGAAACCTTTCTTAGATATAATCTTTGCCATTTAGGAAGTACTTTTTTGATTTCTAATGCCTAAAGTAAACACTTTAAGGACAGAAATCTGTCCATAATATCTAAAGTAACAGAATGTCCAGGGACAGGGTTGCACAGGTCTCTGTGCTGGCTCACCACAGGCCCATTTTTCCATTTTCCAGTTATCATCATCTAGCTTGTTTCAACTTCTAGTTTTATGATGTCTATCCTCTTCAGGGGGCTGAGATACATCAGTAAGAAAGAAAAATCAACTAAGTGAAGCATGTGATGGGGTGGGGGTGGTCACACCAAGAGATTGTTGGGATTTTAAAAACATTCGTTTCTTATTTCACATTACTGAACACAATTAACATGAGGATATGACCATTTCTTCATTTGTGAAGCAACCTGAAGTTCCAGTAGGTCTCTATCAGACATTAAATCATCTACTAATACTAACGATAAAAAGAGATTGCTCAGATACATATCTTTTTGTGATCGTGTCTCTTTCATATGCAATAATATTCTCACCTTTTCTTTTGGATATATAGTTGGCTTTGCTTTTTCATAGATACCTTAACAGACCCTTTGTCAGCTGATCACTGTTCTGATGTGCCTTATAGAAAAGGCTACAGACTTGAGATAGCTATGCCCACAAGATGGAACACTCATCATCCCTTGCCAACACCATTCAATACAACAAAATGTTTAATGTTTAAGAGCTTTAAAATCACTATCAAGAATGCCTTACAAGTTCTTTTTAGCTCATTAAAGTGTTCCATTAGGAGAAGGAAATTGTCTATTTGAGCCTCTGATACATCAATAAAGTGCAGAGGAAGAGAAGATATCCTTCCCACAACAGCAGGTCTCAAACCAGTCCATTCTGAAACAGATTCTCACCAGCAACCACTGCAGAAAGCAAGAATAGCAAAATGAGTTGGGAAAGACCCAGGCAAACCACGGCTTGGTTCTCTTTCTAAAGAAGCCCACACGGATCAAGTCAATCCCTCAAGTCAAATCACGGACGATGGGGGAAAGCACTGCTTGAATGTGAGCACAGGTTCTCGGAATCTAGAGGAACTTGAGTTCTAGTGTTCCAGACCAGGATGAAAGCTCACAAGTAGACATACTGAAACTCACAAATTTATGCAAATTACAAGACACTGGTGTATTAGTTACTTTTCTGTTGCTGTGATGAACATCCTGACCAAAGGAACTTATAGAGGAAGAGTTTACGGGACTTACAGTTTCAGAGGGATAGGGATAAGAGTCCATCATGGTGGGGAGGCATGGCAGGAGGCAGCCAAGCAGAAAGTTGAACACTCACATATTCCAGCAGGTACAGGAAGCAGAGAGCCAGAATGGAGGTGGGTGGGGCTAAAGCACAGCCCAGTGATGTGCCTCTTCCAGCAAGGCTACACTCCCCAGACCTCCAAAAACAGCACCACTGAAGTAGAGACGTGTTCAAATACTTGGAGCCCATGGGGGACATTCTTATTCAAACTACCACACTGGGAAAGTAACTTTTACACAGATTTTTATCAAAAAGGAATTGTGTCTATCATGAATTCATTCCAGGGAAACCCTTTCCTATTTCTATATATAGTGGCTTCTATAGCATCCCTGAAAGGAAAGGAATTTGGCTCTCATTAAACCACTTCTGGGAATTTCTTCACTATCTCACTACATAATTATGTCTAACATACTTGAACTCTCTCTTCTTTAAAACTACAGCTGCTTTTATTTTGGAACTTAAGGTCAAGTGAATTCTACAGATCAGTAAGTGTCTGCCATGAACACCGAAACATCGTAGTGAGATAGCAAATTATAGACAGGAAAACACCGCAGCACTCAGTTGGGACCTGTCACGTGGGCTTTAGACAAAAAAGCATCCAATTGTGAGGGAGCACATTTTTTAGGAAGAATTCTTTGTTTCAATGAAAAGTTAAAAATGGAAAACATATTCTTCCTCCCTTATCACTTAATATGTACTACAGCCTGTACAGTGACTGTTCCCCAAAGGCCCATTCAAGACTGGCCCCCAGAGAGGTGCGACGGGAAGGCGATGTGTAGTGGAGCATAACACACGGTCTTCAGGCCAGCAAGGACACGCTCCTCAGGAGGCTGTGGGCGCTCAGTCTCTTCTTTCTCTTCCCTCCCTGGCTTGTGATGTGAGTGGTTGGTCCCACCACGGATTCCTGACATAATGTGCGGCCTTGCAACAGGCCCAAAACAATAGAGCCAAATAATCGTGGGCCAGAACTTCCCTCACTGTGAGCCAAAGTAAACCTTTTCTTAAGTGAATTATTTCAGGTATTTTTATAGCGATATAAAACTTACTTAAACGATACGAAAGAAGAGCCTACGTGTAAAGACCATGGAGTCCAGCAAAAGAGCAAACTGTACCCACGGCCAAGCAGGGAGGGGCCTGAGAAATAAGGAAAGCAGACTTAAACGATTCTACGGAGGAAGTAACGAGTAATTTTTCTTCCACAGGACATATACACAACAGCAAAATCAAGCAGCAATATATACTTCTAGTTCTGTCATAAGACACATGAAAGGAAAATACAGAGAAACAAAATATTCCTGTAAGGGAAGTAGTGCACAGCTCATCAGGACATGCTTTTGGATGTGGAATACAACTGTATTTCGTACTCCATAACTACAATTTCCCTTTTCTCACACTTCCTTATTTTGCTGGCACAGCCTATCACTCACTGTGTATAAAACACAGTGCAAAGTTTGGGCAATGCAAACCAGACGCATCTCTGACCTACAGAAACACATTGTCCTCCATAATCTCTCTTTCTCACAATTCTGAGTTAGAAGCAAGTACTTTGAGAGCAGGAATTCATGTGTAGTATTTCCAGAGTAAAAATTCCAGATAAAAATTGGGTTAGTTTAAGGGAGGGGGGAGGGAAGGGTATACAAGGAACCTAGGGGATAAGGGGAAAGAAGGAGCTCAAGAGAGGTAGGACCATAGGAGAAGGGTATTAGTAAGGGAGAAAGGGGGGAAATGGGGGCACCTTAAGTGGGAAAACCATGATGGAGGGGTGAGACAATGAGAGAGATAAACAATGCCTGATAGTTTTGAAAACCAGAAGGAACCATATTACTCCTACAACCTACTGACAAATTATACATAGCAGATCAAGAAATATATGTAGAGGTGAGGTTTATGTGAGAACAACTGGTCTTTGCCCAAGATTTATGTACATAACACACAGTAATTAAAAGTACCAGACTGGTGGAACTAACCTTCTTGGGTGTTTAACAGACATACTTTGAGGCCTATAATAATTTGGTCAGAGAGACATAAAGGACACTTTTTGCTCCTTGCCCTCCTAGGTCGACTAGTTCCAGGAGACTATGAGCATCTCTCAAAATGTCCTATAATGGTGGTGGGTCACCTATCCTCTTGATCAAGGAGGCCAAGGAGACCCCACAAGATGGACTTGAACCAGTGTCCAGTCTACAAAGAGGAGGGTCAACACAGAGGAATCATTTCCTCCATGCTTCCAAGCAAAGCCAACCATGGTCGAGCAGGACCTCTGACTTATCTTCACATAGGCAGAACTGGTAAAAGAAAGGAGCCAGGGGCTCCTCCCAAGCCCATGTAACCCCTGAGGAACAGATCCTCAAATGACCTTAGCAGTAAAAATAAGTTGGTTTTATCTGGACCAGCTGTATGGCATTAAACACCCAAAAGGAAAGTATAACCAAAGATTAAAGAGGCCAATATAATTTCTTAAGAGTCCATATGCATAGCTAAAGGCTACATAACAAGCAACAATGCCAGACAGGCAATACCTTCTTTTGAGTTGTTGGCCAGGGTGGCCCAAGGGACTCCCAGATAGTAACCCAGCATAGAACTGGGAAAATGAACAGCAGACCCCAATCTATTGACAGGTGATTGCTGCTAGATGAGGAAAGCTGACCCTCCTAAAACAAAGAGCCCTAGGTAGGCAGACTAGATTCACCAGAGGGCAAGTAGTGGGGAATGGCTGGGGTGCCGACAACACAGCAGACAGTAACAGGGATATCAGAGTATAAGGGCTCTAGTGATGGGAGGGAGGCTATGGGAGGGTGCTACCTGGAAAGGGGATGTATAGTCGAATGAGATGGTTTGGGATGTTCTATATGATACACATACATACACACACACACACACACACACACACACACACACACGCATGCACGCACACAAAAAATGTTAAAAAATGTATTATATTTGAGGAGGAAGCATGGAAATTTATATCATGCTAATTAGTAGAGGTGATAAACATTACCATTGAAATCTGCCTGATGACTTTATAGACATACGTGCACGGGCGCCAAGGATCCAAAAGGATCCAAGTGCAATTGATTATGACTAGTAATAATCTGATACATACAGGTTAGAGATGCAAGCACCAACATCTTGATGTTAGTAGCAAAAGCAATGAGTCTGTCTACAAGGAACAATATATTCTAGAATGAAATGGAGCTCTTTTTTAAAGGTTAAAAACTCATCCAATTTTATGTCTTACAGGGCTTATACTGAGTTCAATAATATATAACTATATTAATTCAACTGTGAACCTAGAAACTTGCACCCACTTGTGAAAGAGATGTACTGCTGCTCTGGAGTGTGTTACTGAATATGTTAAAGCTGTAGTGAAAAGCTTCTAATCATGTAGTCATTAAAATTTTTTAAAAAGTATAATGATTAAAAAAATAATTCTTCAAAGCATAAATATTTGCTCCTTAATAATTAGTAGATGTGGAAAACCTTACCATTGAAATCTACCTGATGACTTTATATC